TTCCACACTGCAACTGAATGTAATTAAGTACATGCTGTTGTTCGTACTTACAAAAGACTTAGGTCGTAGCGAGCCACCTCCAACAGACTCCAACGAACATCTCAAATAATTTCAAAGGTCCATGTCCATATTGCTGCCTCCAGGTGAGGCGCAACTGCGTGCATGTGCGCTAAAATTGTTTGGTGGCGTTAATGTTCCCCAACTATGAGGTATTCATTGTATATGAAGATATGGGAGATAGTTGTTCCTTTTATGAAAGGAATTTGTTTTAAAAAAACTGTTCATCACAATTCACGTTAATTTCTGAAGTCGACGCAGGTAATTGGCAGGCAGTATTATTCCTCGCTGAACGCTCACCGATAGTTAAGGCAAATCTTTCGTCCCGTTCCACATCAGAGCTCTTTCTCCAGCCCCGCCAGCAGCCGCTGGTAGTAAAGGCAAGTAAATATTACAGGCAAAGACAAAGGAGAGAGTGATCGCCGTTTCTGGCTCATATGTCTTCATCGACCAGTCATCTCAAACCCCAGGTGGTGCACCATCCGAGGCTCAAAGCCCCAATCATCTGATCAAATGTTCAGCGCTTTAAGTTAAGAACTCATTGTTCAACTGCCTAAACTGCCAGCCGCTCTACGGCTGCTGGCTGGACGTGGGAGTGAGGCCCAAAGCTGAAGGGAATGAATGAATTCCATTAGCGACCGGTCAGCGTTCATCAATGGATAGGCTATTAAAGTTTGTCGGCGATGTCGATAGAAGCGAAACTGGGAGTTGTTGGAAGCAGCTAAAGAAGAGCCCCGATCACTGCAGCAAGAATGTTAACTGACTGATGTCACGAATTTGCTCTCCAGCTCACTCTCCGAGGCTGAAGAATAGTAAAGTTTTCTCCCTCATTATGGGTTTGCGTGTGAAGCCAAAAAACTCATACGAAGAGGATTCATCTTCCAGCAGTCGTGCTTACGTATTCTTATCATAAATATTACGAAAATTTTGTGCTGAACACCACTGTTTCGTGGGAAAATGGTAACTAGCCGCTAATGAGAAATGGGAAAGGCAGAAACGCATAAAAGAAAAAAGTATGCGGAGAGTGCTTGTGTGACAACATAACATTTATGACGCCAAATCCAGTGCGGAATGTCAGAATCCATCGCTAATGAATACGCCACTAGCAATTAATATGGTAGCCTTGAGGATAATTGGAGGAGGCTCGCGATACCCAAGTCACATGAAGAACCTTGTGAATAGGAACACGTGCCCTGTAAGGTCTCCTGTTTTATGACAAACACAGGTACCATCCTCGTTGCCTCTTTACGAGAAAGTAAATTAATGGCGATGACGACGCATATGCAGTATTTTCGATCTTCTCAGTGCTCTGAGAAAAGGTTTATTTAAAACGTTGCTTTGCGCACAAAATAAACGTGTTTGGTACAAAGGTGAATGTTGAAATATCTGGCATTCTAGTACTTATACTAAGCACCTCTTGGCATTTCTCTTTCATATATTTTTTCTTCCCCATGAGGACTTGATCGTCTGTGCGCATATGGATCATACATAAATCTTGTTTTCATTGGATCTCTATTTTTAAAGATACGATAACATTACAGACCATAGGATATTTATTTCCTCATATTTCAAGCAAAACAGCTTGTATTTGAAATCAACACGCATGTAGAGTCCAACAGTTACCTGAAATGACGCATTTGATACCGAGTGAATTTACCTCTGTACAAAGACGAAGGATCAAGTTAAATGCTTGTACGGTACTTAGTTGCATATTGTTAGACAGCCCGAAAAAATCTAGATGTCAAATGCGTTATTAAAAAGAAGTATAATAATGCTATTAACCTAATAAACGTAGGTTGACAATGGGGAGATTGCGAAAACATCTACCTTAAATTAAGCTTGTGGAATGTGCTGATAAAGAAATACGATCACAACTTTATAAATGTTTAAGATATAAATTGCTTTTTTGCTACTTCCCATCCTACTGTATTATTATCAGGAAAATTCAAACAAGTTTTATTACCCATAACATATTGCTATAATAAGCGTGCACAGGTGCGCATAGTCGCATATTTGGCAATTTACACCATGAATGTTAGAATCTCTAAAGATCTCTGGTTAAAATGTAAATTTTAGACAAAATTAAAAAAACATGTTTGTTTGCATGCACTCCTATAATCCCTCTAAGTGTGTATCACTGCACAGAAAGCTGAACTTGCATTCATATGCAATTTCTCTGCCAAAAGACAAATTACCACATTTAGAATAGAATGTTTGTTATTTCATGTGCTGAACCTGCTTCACATGAGGTATGTTAATTCTTGGGAATTTTAAGTTAGCGTTGTTCTTTATTCACAAACGAAAAATAAAAAAGAACATTTTACGTCCTCATGGTCGGTTTAACATGCAGTCCACAGTTCGTATGTATTTAGCTAAATTATTCATTGTTTTTTTTTTTCAGGGAAGATAGACACTCTTGAATGGTGAATAGGACGTAGGGTTAAATGTGTGTATTGATCAGAATCTGCTCGCACGACCTCTTTTTGTGTGTTTGTGTGTGTCTTACAGACACCCACGTTCCAGTTTGACCTTAGCGTGCCCGCAGTTCTGCACGTAAACTTTGTCATTGAGTTGATTAGTAGGCCTGAAAGCCCTGACTTCTCTCAGAATTACAGCAGGAGAACTGTGCTCAAAATACAGTATAGCGAGTGCTGCAAGCAAAATGCCGCAATTTGCGAAAGACTGGTGATCAGTCGCAAACCAAAATTAAGTGGGGTGCATTACTGATTATCGTGCAGTCTAATCTCAAGTGTTTTCAGTCACGCCAGGATGCCGGCTTTTAAATTAGCTTCTTTCTGACCACTTATAAAATGTAGATTCTGTAAAATGGCTACTTAAATAGTATGCATTTGATCATGGATTTTGACTGCCTGTATAAATTCAAATATATTTTATAGAAAACATGCACGAAAGAATTCTTTCTTGTACTCGTTTTGTAGTAAATTATGCCTTCTTTAAATTTTAAGCTCAAAGAAAGGGTCTCCTTCCGCTTTAGAAAAAGATATAATTATGATATGTTTACGACTGT